TTTTCCATTTCTTTGTGTCTTCCTCAATTTCTTTCATGAGTATTTTATAGTTTTCTGAGTACAGATTCTTTGCCTCTTTGATTAGATTTATTCCTAGGTATCTTATGGTTTTGGGTGCTATTGTAAATGGGATCGACTCTTTAATTTCTCTTTCTTCTGTCTTGTTGGTGTATAGGAATGCCACTGATTTCTGTGCATTGATTTTATATCCTGCCACTTTACTGAATTCCTGTATGAGTTCTAGCAGTTTTGGGGTGGAGTCTTTTGGGTTTTCCACATACAGTATCATATCATCTGCAAAGAGTGAGAGTTTGACTTCTTCTTTGCTGATTTGGATGCCTTTTATTTCTTTTTGTTGCCTGATTGTCATGGCTAGGACTTCTACTACTATGTTGAATAGCAGTGGTGATAGTGGACATCTCTGCCACGTTCTTGACCTTAGGGGGAAAGCTCTCAGTTTTTCCCCATTGAGAATGATATTCGTTGTGGGTTTTTCATCGATGGCTGTTATGATACTGAGGTATGTACCCCCATCCCTATACTCTGAAGAGTTTTGATCAAGAAAGGATGCTGTACTTTGTCAAATGCTTTTTCTGCATCTATTGAGAGGATCATATGATTCTTGTTCTTTCTTTTGTCAATGTATTGTATCCCATTGATTGATTTGCTGATGTTGAACCAAGCTTGCAGCCCAGGGATAAATCCCAGTAGGTCGTAGTGAATAATCCTTTTAATGTACTGTTGGATCCTATTGGCTAGTATTTTGGTGAGAATTTTTGCATCCATGTTCATCAAGAATATTGGTCTGTAATTTTCCTTTTTGATGGGGTCTTTGTCTGGTTTTGGGATCAAGGTAATGGTGACCTCATAAAACGAGTTTGGAAGTTTTCCTTCCATTTCTATTTTTTGGACCAGTTTCAGAAGAATAGGTATTAATTCTTCTTTAAATGTTTGGTAGAATTCCCCTGGGAAGCCGTCTGGTCCTGGGCTCTTGTTTTTGGGAGATTCTTGATTACTGCTTCAATTTTCTTAGTGGTTATAGGTCTGTTCAGTTTTTCTATTTCTTCCTTGTTCAGTATTGGTAGTTGATACATCTCTAGGAATGCATCCTTTTCTTCCACATTATCTGAGAAATAATAAATTTCTCTTCTCCTGCTGGGTTTAGGCTTTATTTGCTGTTCTCTCTCCAGCTCCTTTAGGTGTAGGGTTAGATGTGTATTTGAGACCTTTCTTGTTTCTTGAGAAAGGCTTGTATTGCTTTATACTTTCCTCTTAGGACTGCCTTTGCTGCATCCCAAAGATTTTGAACAGTTGTGTTTTCATTTTCATTGGTTTCCATGAATGTTTTAAATTCTTCTTTAATTTCCTGGTTGACCCATTCATTCTTTAGTAGGACGCTTTTTAGGCTCCATGTATTTGAGTTCTTTCTGACTTTCCTCTTGTGATTGAGTTCTGGTTTCAAAGCGTTGTGGTCTGAAAATATGCAGGGAATGATCCCAATCTTTTGGTACTGGTTGAGACCTGATTTGTGACCTAGGATGTGATCTATTCTGGAGACTGTTCCATGGGCACTAGAGAAGAATGTGTATTCCGTTGCTTTGGGATGGAATGTCCTGAATATATCTGTGAAGTCCATTTTGTCCAGTGTGTCATTTAAAGTATTTCCTTGTTGATCTTTTACTTAGATGATCTGTCCCTTTCAGTGAAGGGGTGTTAACGTCCCCCACTATTATTGTATTGTTGTTGATGTGTTTCTTTGCTTTTGTTATTAATTGACTTATATAATTGGCTGCTCCCATGTTAGGGGCATAGATATTTACAATTGTTAGATCTTGTTCTTGGATAGACCCTTTAAGTAGGATATAGTGTCCTTCCTCATCTCCTATTATAGTGTCTCATTTAAAATCTAATTTGTCTGATATAAGAATTGCCACCCAGCTTTCTTTTGGTGTCCATTAGCATGGTAAATGGTTTTCCACCCCCTCACTTTCTATCTGGAGGTGTCTTTGGGTCTAAAATGAATCTTTTGCAGACAGCATATCAATGGGTCTTGTTTTTTTTATCCAATCTGATACCCCGTGTCTTTTGTTTGGGGCATTTAGCCCATTTATATTTAGGGTAACTATTGAAAGATATGAATTTAGTGCCATTGTATTGCCTGTAAGGTGACTGTTACTGTATATTATCTGTGTTCCTCTCTGGTCTATGTTACTTTTAGGCTCTCTCTTTGCTTAGAGGACCCCTTTCAATATTTCTTGTAGGGCTGGTCTCGTGTTTGCAAATTCCTTTCGCTTTTGTTTGTCCTGGAAGCTTATTATCTCTCCTTCTATTTTCAATGACAGCCTAGCTGGATATAGTATTCTTGGCTGCATATTTTTCTCATTGAGTGCTCTGAATATATCATGCCAGTTCTTTTTGGCCTGCCAGGTCTCTGTGGATAGGTCTCTTGCCAATGTAATGTTTCTACCATTGTAGGTTACAGATCTCTTGTCCTGAGCTGCTTTCAGGATTTTCTTTTGGTCTCTGAGACTAATTAAATTTTACTATTAGATGTCGGGGTGTTGACTGATTGTTATTGATTTTGAGGGGTGGTCTCTGTGCCTCCTGGATTTTGATGCCTGTTTCCTTCCCCAAATTAGGGAAGTCCTCTGCTATAATTTGATCCAATATACCTTCTACTCCTCTCTCTTTTTCTTCTTTTTTGGGATCCCAATTATTCTAATATTGTTTCATCTTATGGTATCACTTATCTCTCGAATTCTGCCCCCTTGATCCACTTGTTGTTTATCTCTCTTTTTCTCAGCTTCTTTATTTTCCTTCATTTGGTCTTCTATATCGCTAATTCTCTGTTCTGCCTCATTTATCCTAGCCTCCATTTTTGATTGCACCTCATTAATAGCCTTTTTGATTTCGCCTTGGGTAGATTTTAGTTCTTTTATTTCTCCAGAAAAGGTTTCTCTAATATCTTCCATGCTTTTTTGACGCCCAGCTAGTATCTTTATCATTATCATTCTGAACTCTCATTCCAACATTTTACTAATGTCTGTATTGATTAGGTCCCTGGCAGTCAGTGCTGCCTCTTTTTCTTTTTGTTGAAGTGATTTTTTCTGTCTTGTCATTTTGTCCAGATGAGATTAGAGGAATGAGAGAACAAAATGCTAACAGGGTAAGAATGACCCCAGAAAAATATATACTAAACAAATCAGGAAAGACCTGAAACCGGGGTAAAAGGAAGGGAAAGAAAGAAAAAGAAAAGAAAAGAAAAGAAAAAAAAATAATATGATCAAAAATGATCAGGTTCTTGAATCGATCAGTTCCACACATTAGATTTTTGGCAAATTTTGGTCTGTTAGAAGAAACTTCCTCCCAAAATTTTAAAGAAAAAAAATCTTATATATGTTTAAAATAAGGGTAAATACAATGAAGGGATGGAATATGAATGTAAAGATGAATATTATAAAAGATTTTATAAAAGGAATTGATAAGAAGTTGGTTGAAAAAAAAAAGGAGAGAAATTAAAAAAAGGGGGAGAGAATGTGATAAGGTAGGCGACTAGAACAAAGCCATACCCTAGAGACTCAGGGTGTATTTTGTTCTGTTAGAAGAAACTGTATCCCAAAATTTTAAAGAGCGAACAACTTAGATATATACCAAAAATAAGGTTAACTACTATGAAGGGATAGAATATGACTCTAATAATGAAAAATAAAAAAGATTTTTAAAAAAGTGATTGATAAGATGTTGGTTGAAAAGGGAAAAAGAAAAATTCGGAAAAAAAAAGTTAAAAAAATTAACTTTGAAAGCCTAAAGAATCAGGGGGGAAAAGGCCATGAATTCTATGTGCAGTATTCCCCTAGTGCTGGAGTTCTGCTATTGTTATTGATCGGTAAACTTGGTCTTGGCTGGCTGTTCTTGCTGACCTTCTGGGGGAGGGGCCTGTTGCCGTGGTTCCCAAATGGCTTTGCCAGAGGCGGAATTGCCCTGCCCTTGCCGGTCCGGGCTAAGCAATCTGCTCCGGTTTGTTCTTGGGAGCGTTTGTTCCCTGCAAGCTCTCGGTACAGCTTTGGAGAATGAGAGTGAAAAAGTTGGCCTCCCAAGCTCCACCCGGAGGAGCCAAGAATTTGGGGCCCCACTCCTCAGTGCGCCCCCAGAGAAAAGCATTCAGCCACTCCTGTCTCTCCGGTCTCCGGCCCTAGTCCGTGCTCACCCGGCCTGTGACCGAGTGTTTCTATCTCTGGCTCCCGACCCCGTGTGGAGTCTCCAAACCCAGCAGATCCCTGTGGTGGGCTCCCGTGCTGCTCCTCCCCGGGGAGGAAGGGGAGTCTCCCTGGATCTGCCGCTTGTTGGGTCCCTGCTGGAGGAGCAGTGGCCTGACTGCCGCGGATCACGGTTTATGGCAACCCCGAGCTGAGAGCCCTCCCCTCAGCTCTGTCTCTGCAGCCGGTTTCCCCGCTCTGATACCTGGGAGCTCTGCTGCACTGAGGCACCCCCGGTCTTTCTGTGACCCCGAGGGTCCTGAGACCACACTGTCCCAGCGAGGGTTCCACCGCCCTCTTAGCCACTGAAGCGACGTTCAGCAGAGCCGACTTGTAAAAGTTCCGATTTTGTGCTCCGCGGCTCTATCACTTGCCAGAAGTGGCCGACGGGGCCCCCTCCTCCGCCATCTATCCTCTGGAATATCGCCTCGGATTCACTTCTCCACATGTCCTACCTTCCAGAAAGTGGTCGCTTTTCTGTTCAGAGAGTTGCTGCTACTTTTCTTCTATCTCCTGTTGAGTTTGTAGGTGTTAGAATGGTTTGATCCCTATCCAGCTGAATTTCTGGGACCAGAGGAAATTTAGGTCTCCTACTCCTCCACCATCTTGCTCCTCCCCTGTATATACTCTTTAACCAGAAAAGTGATGTGGGCAAGGTAGGCACATAAATAAAGACAATAATTCTGGGGGTATCTAGAGAATGTGACATAGACCATTATTTTATTTTATTTTTTTATCCTTTAGTCTCTAGACCTGTGAAAAAGACATTATGTTTGGGACCTGCCCCTTCAGCTTCTCAGCTCTGCAATATCCCTTGCTCTACGGACTGTATAGTATCTTCCTGGTCAGCCTGGGGCCTGTGCATCCATGAAAACTGCCGTGATCCTCAGGGGAGAAAAGGTGAGTGTCTTGTTTGTGTCTGCTTCATTTACTTCCAGTGTACACACAGTTATTCTGGTAACTAAGTAGCCGATTAAGCCTGCTTTAAGACAATATTTGGTTGTAAAATGTAGATAACCAGCTCAAGCCTGAGAGCATTCAGTTATTAGGGAGGCCACTGGGGACATGTCCATGAAGCAAGAATCTGACCTGGATCGAGCTTCCAGTTAGGTTCATAGCTGGTGATGTGACTATTACTCAAATATGGTATAACAATGTTTTATATCTGTAATGGTTATAGTGAGGAAATTAGACGTTATTTCTGTAATCACATCAGGAAACAACTATTTTGCCTATCTATTTTCAGATTTCTTCATGCTGAATTTGATGTTCTGTTTCAGATTTTCACAAGGGGCATTTATGTGTGTTGTTTACTTTTTGATGTCTTTGGGCTAAAAGTGGAATCTTCAAACTTTATATAATTTTTTAATTTTGTAGGCCTCTGTAGTCTTATTTCCTTTCATTTGCTGTTATGCGCACATCTTTGTATTCAAAAGTTCGTTTTTGGTGACACCTTGACCTCTCTTTCATTGACCCTTCAGTTTGTATTGATACTATGTTCCCTTAAGTAGCAATGCTAAAAAGAAATATTCGTTTTTCTAAGAGAAATGAGCTCCAAGGACATTCCAGAAATTAGGTTGTGTTTGCTAAGCACTACCCTAGATATCACATGCAAAGAAAGAATACCTGGCCAAGTGCTTGATGCTACAAAGCTGGTGCTCTCAGCTTAATTCTGTGTCCGTTTGAAAGCCCACAGTTTAGCAATTCCCAGATTCCTCACATGCACACATGGGCATGTCCAAGTTCACACACCCATGCCCTGGGCTTTTCTCTTTATTCTGACTTTTCATTCTAAGACAGAAGAGGATGTGTGTGGAGTCTAGGTTGAGGAGGAAGACGCTAATTTTAACTCTTTTATCAAATAATAGAAAACTGGATCTCAGTTGAACCTGGAGGGGTGCAGTGAAGAGGCCTGTGCTGATTTTTAATTAGACTTGTAGCCAGAATGTCCCTTAAACCTCTTCAGTTTAGGAATTATTTTGTATTATTTTTATTAAAAATAATTTCGCATTAAACTGGACCTTGTAAGTCTCCTGTAGCTGCATATGAGACTCCCCAGGGTAACTTACATGTTATTGGAACCAGCCCTCCTATGTTCAACCTGTGCCAATCCATTTAGATTGTTGTCTAGAAAGTCATGAAGGATTGGACTCAGGTTCTGCCAGCCCCTGTGGCCATGGCTGTAGATACTTGTGCAACTTTGCTATACTGAGTGCTGCCTTTTGCTTTCAAAGTTGTAGAACCCAACCAGGCCAAGTGGGCCTCATATTATTTTATAATTTTTGTTGTAAGTGACAGAAACCCAATTCAAGATCTACTGTTTGAATCCCCATGTTTCTTGCAGTGTTATCCACATAGTAAAGATATGGAAATGACCTAAGTGACTATTGATGCATAAATGGATAAAGGAAATATGTTATATACACACATGCATGTGCTTGCAGCCACACATACACTCACATATTTATAGTGATATTATTTAGCCATAAAAAAAGATGGAAACCCTGCCATTGTGACAACATGGTTGAAACTTGAGGACCTTATACAAAGTGAAATAAATCAGAGAAAGGCAAATATTGTATGATCTCACTTATATGTAGATTCTAAAAGACCTGAGATTATAGTAACACAGAGTAGAATGATGGTTACCAGGGGCTGGGTGGTGGGGAAAATGCGGAGATGTTTATCAAAGGATACAAGTGTCCAGTTATAAGGTTAGTTTAAGTTCTGAGGATCCAATGTGTAGCATGATAAGTATAATCAACAATACTGTATTATATACTTGTAAGTTGCTAAGAGAGTAAATCTTTAAAATTCTCACCACAAAAAGAAAAAAGAGGTAATTTTGATTTTAGATCCTAGAAAAGTAGAAAGAAATGTCTTCCTTAATACTTCCAGGAAGAGTCCTGGAATTGAATCTCATTGGCTGCTTTGTGTCATGTGATAACCCTGACCCAGTCACTCTGATTGGTCAACTCCTAGGCATGTGTCCACCACTAGAGGGACAAGGCTGGCCAAGTCTCACCACTGAGAGTCAGGAAGGGATGGCTCCCTCAAGGAAATATGAGATGCTGATACTACAAGATGGTAGAAGTAATGCTGAGGTTAAACTTAATAGATATTTATTAAATGCTTTCTCCCCTTTGTTCTGGGCCATGGAGTTTCTACAGCAATTCAGAGAATGCTGTCTTCCTCATTCTGTGTTGTAATTTTTGTTACTTGAGCAAATTTTCATAAAACCTTTTGTGAAGAGTGCTCTTTCAACTTTTCTTTCAATCTTCCTTTTGCACATAACTCTGAACTGGTCCATGGAACTCAGCTGGGAAACTCACAACATTCAGACCCCTCTGCTTGCCCCCTGGGCCCAAGATGCTTCAATGGCAAACCTTTTCTTTGCCCCTGTTCCTCTATTGTATGGATCAACTCTTGCACATTCACTCTGGTCCATCATTCATTAGACATCACCTGTTGTGGGTTGAATTGTGTCCTTCAAAAAAAAGAACTTCATTCCTAACCCCTTGTATATGTGAATATGACCTTATTTGGAAATAGGGTTATTGCAGATGGCCTCAAGTTAAGATGAGGCCATAATGGATTAGGATAGGCTCTATTCTAATGACTGATGTCCTTATAGAAAGAGGGAAATTTGGACACAGAGATACACAGAGGAGAATGCTATGCAAAGGCAGACATTAGAGTGATGCTTGTATAAACCACGGAATGCCAAGGATTGTCGACAACCACCAGAAGCTAGGGAGAGGCATGGGAGCAGTCTTTCCCTGGAACATTCAGAGGGAGCATGGCTCTACTGACACTTTGATTTTGGGCTTCTAGCCTCCAGAACTGTGAGACAAAAAAATTCTGTTGTTTTACATCACCCAGTGCGGTATTTTCTTTTGGCAGCCCTAAGATACTAATATACTGCCAAACTTTGCATCAGCATTTAGGCTCAGCAAGGATACGATACTTCATAATACTTCAAAACTAAAGTGTAGAGAAGTGAGCCCATTTGTCCTAAATCCCACAGGGATTTAATAATGGCCAAGCCAGCACTAAGAACCTGGTTTCCTGTCTCCCTAGTCTAGTATTCCCTCAAACACTGGGCTTCCTTAGTGATTCCCTCTGAAGCCTAAGGAAATTTGGATCAAGGCGCAAGTCCAGTGCCAAGCTTAGCAGAGAAGCACTCTGCCCACATTCACCCCACTGGCCAGTGGGACGCATTAGTCTTGAGAGCCAATCATTGCACTGATGTAAGAGATAAGGCATGGGGCATGGGATTTGTCTTAGCTCTAGTGTGTCACCTTTGGAGGGAGAGGGAAAGTAGACTGCAGTTGTGTGAGAAAAGAAGGGTGTTCTAAGATTAGCTTGAGAGCAGCAGGTGACTGGAATTTGTGTTTTTTTGCCTCAAACAATAAGTTTTTCTAAGAGAGGCTCAGCCTTTGGAGCTGAAGGAAAGGGGGAGACAATAGAGCTTCTCACCTGAAGGTCTTAGTGTTACCACAACCGCCTGAAATGTGTAGGGTCATGTTGGGATTGATGAGAAACAGTCTCTGTTCTATAGGGCCCATTCTTAGGCTAAATGACCTGCCCTAGACACTAAGTAATCCCAGACAGAAGAGCCTGTACACAGCAATGATTGTTATTCAGGTCTGGGAGTTCGGCATTTTATAAATGCTTCCCCAGAGCAGAGACAATTTTGATTTTTAAGGTCTTGCTAAAATCTGCCAGGACCACCTGCCTCTAATCCCTCCTGGGAAAAATAAGGAATGGAGTTTTCCCTCTAGGGGAATGATTCTGTGCTTACAAGGAGTCCAAGCATGTTATGATGATGGTAAGTAATCCTCTTTTTTATTTCTACTGACTTGCGAGCATGAGGTCTGGGATCTTCTCAATCTCAGTCTGTCCCACGGTCCTACCATGGGGTCTGCCAGAGTCGCTGACTGACACAAACGAAATGTAATTCAGAATTCCACAGAGGCCGGAATATACAAGCTAATACATTAAACATTATAAAACTCTGGGATGTAAACTGAACTGTTTAGCTTCACATTTGAATTCCCTACCCTAAAGAAATGCAGTGAACCTAGTAGCAAAAGTCTAGGATATATATATATATGTCCTTAGTTATTTTATACTCTGTTATTTATGATTGAGGATTTGAGGGAAATACCGGCAAACAATAGCAAGAAAATGAATGTGTAAAGTTGGAGATAATTACTTTTTTCTCTTCACTAGTCTTTTTCCCAGTAACTGTGTTATTGCTTTGGCATGTTCCTTTTGTTCACATTTAAAAAAAAAATAGTAGAAAAGGATGGAAAAGCAGTTAATGTTGTATTACCTAACAGAAGAAATTAGTTGCCCTAGAGATGATCTTACCATGGCTCTTGTTTTAAGGCAGGCACCCTTCAATCAGGAACCCTGTAAGCTTTGTGGCTGTCAGCCATTTGAAGTACGTTAGAAAATCAGCTGTTGTCCCCAGCCTTCACACTTCCCACCAGGTCTGTGATAGGCAGACAAGGGGAACAGTACTCAGCAGGTTGGTACTTGTCAAGTGAAGCTAGGACATCTTTCAGAGGAATTTAAATTGGATCAGGTTTTATCATTCATTGCTTTATCTTTGATACAGTCCCAGGGAGTTATAATTAGAGATATATGAAAGAGAAATAACCTGAAAAAATTGCTGATGGGTGAACTCTATAGAAAGTATAATACATTTTTAAAAATTCTTTTTGATATAGAGGCATACATTTATATGACATCCTTGTCCCTTTCAGACATATTCTAGAAAGACATCCTTGCCTACAGAAGTTGTTTTAAAGAAAAATTTGATGGAGGCTTCCTGATACAGTGTCACAATAGGTAACTGCTTATGTGGTAGGACTTCAGGGGTTCCTTAACACCCCCAATATGGTATTACCCCCAGTTACACATTTAAAGTTCTAAAATCCCCATAGGAAAGGACATCTTGAAACTGAGAAGCCATGACTATATTTACAAAGACAGTCTTTTATGCTCTGAAACAAATCAATTTAAATAACACGCCAAAGCAGGAAAATACTGCATGTTTTAGATCTTATATAACAACAGTGGGGGAAAATTTCCGTTTTCCATCCTTGCCTGCTACATAGATCCACTTTTAATGAGAAGTCTATAAAATCATTTTGCTTTGTTACAGAAAATATGTATGCTATAGTTTTTTCTTTTCCTTTTTGTTCTATGCCTGTGTGTGTTAGGAGTGGGGGTGGGGGTGCGTGCCTACTTCTCATTCTAAGTGTTGAGAGTTCTCATAATCACAATTGCCTTATCATTGCTTTTTCTTATTTTCTGTATTCACAGCAGGGTGCAAACTAATAATGATACTGTAAAATGCTGCACTTGCAGGAATGGTGGTTGATTTCTAAAGAGTTGGAATCAATGTGCTCAGGGTCTTTTGTTCAAAGTTGTTACCCCATGCCCAAGGCTGCCAGAGATGAGGAGTAAATGGATGCCTAAGATGGAATAAGCTTCTGTCATCCTCAGTCAACCTGCAAGCTGCTGCTTCAAGCCTGTTGCAGTGGTGTTAGTGTGGAGACACAGTATTGGCCATGCATAGCTCCATAGAAGCTTACGGGGATACTTCAGGGCCTCTAGCACCTGAGGATGTACAATCCTCAAACCTACATTTACCTCCCATGTCTCCTTTAATTTTCCTTTGGTTTTATTTAAAAAAACTTTGGCCCATCTTCTGCCATTTGTACTTTGTCCCTTTTCTCTCCCCAACCCACAATTCACTCTTTTCTAAAAAGTAGAATATGTAGTAAGCCAGTAGAATATATGCTAAACTTTGGGTTCATAAAAGAAAAAGAATCCTGCAAATACCAGTTTCGTTAAAAGTGGATTGAATCTATAGTCTTTAAGTGATTATTAAAACTCCTTCTTGATGCCTTGTGCCTAAAATTCCACTGTCCAATCTATACACCCACCTTCATTTGGAGGAAATGATGCGTAGTCCCTATAGATTCACTGTATGGAGTCGGGCTAGCACACATCACACACAAGAGCTGACTTGAACGCTTTCTCATGAAGAGGTGATGACTCAAAAAGTCCTCGGCTGAATTTCATACATATCCATTTAATCAATAATGTGCCTCGGGAGCAGTAGTAAAGTCTCATCTGATCTTAGTTTTCACGTGCATAAGATGAGAATAACAACTTGCAAAATAGTTTTGAAGATTTATTAATTTGGGGTAATATAAGTAAAGTGGCTGGCACCATTTTGGGATAGGGTAGATGTTTAATTAATGCACGTGCCTTTTCCCCTTGTTGGACTATATGTTCTGTGAAGAATAGATTTATGTTTTCTGTTCCTCTTGTGGCTTCCCACAGTACATTACAATGATCTACATATGGCAGTTAATGTTTACTGAATGATACAATCTGATTAATATGGAATTCGGTAAATGAAGGTAAGTGGTTGGCTGGCCCCAGCCACTGTGGACTTGGCAGTCGTGTATCTTTCAGAACAGAAGCACCCGGGGGAAGCCTGATGTGTATTCCAGGCATGAACATGTGTGTGATTAAAGTTAAGCACTAACAAGAGACTCCAAGGTTTTTGTTTTATGCTGAGCTTGTGCTGTGATTTGATCCTAGTTACAGTCAGGACAAGGGCAGCACAAATGAAAGACGGGAAGAATTTATTGACTAAGGAGATGTAATCTATAGATTTATGGTGAGATGAATGCAATTTGATTTATAGAGGGAAACTGCACATACCGCTCAATGGCATTAAGCTCTAGGTACACCCAGAGTCCTCAGCAAAGACGACCAGGTTTCTGAGACAATTGTTAAAACTTATAAATCATGGAGATGCGTGCTATGTCCTGCTCGAACAGATAAACCAAACAAGGACAAACATAAGATTGTAAATAAGCAGCATATGGACATTACATGTAAGAATAGAAGTCATCCAAGTTGTGTGGCGGTGAGCACTTGGAGCTCATTGTAATTGGATGACTATCAAGTGCAGTTGGAAACCTTGTATGTTTCCTGTGTCTCTTCTGAAGGTGGCTCAGGAAGGGAACTGAACCCTTCTGAAGATTTTGTTTTAACTAATTAATGATACAGATTTATAGGTATGAAGTATGGAAGAAGCCATCTATTATTTTAATTGTCCCTGACCTTAATATTTTCAATGCCATGATCATGAATGTGGTCTCTGATTGGCTGAATGCCTTCCCCCACGTGGCTGATTGTCAATGTAAGAATCGAAGAATCCCTTTTAAAAGGAGCTCAGGGGTGCCTGGGTGGCTCAGTAGGTTAAGTGTCCTACCCTGGATTTTGGCTGAGGTCATGATCTCTCAGGGTTGTGAGATCGAGCCCCCTGTCAGGCTCTGTGCTGGGTGTGGAGGCTGCTTAAGATTCTCTCTCTCCCTCTCCTTCTGTCCGTCCTCCCCTTTTCTCCCTCTCTCCCCCACTTTCTAAAAATAAATAAATAAAGGAAAGAAAGAAAGAAAGAGAGAGAGAGAGAAAGAGAAAGAGAGAGAGAGAAAAGAAAGAAGAAAGAAAGAAAAGAAAGAAAGGAGTTCATAGGTTGGAGTTCATAGGTTCATACCCTGGACCAAAAAAAAAACCCAAATAAAACACTTGAGACTGTTAATCTAAAATCCTTGTCCAGCCCTGTAATATTCTAAGGGAGCTCGGCTCCCTCTTGTGGCCTAAAACCATGTGTCCATTAGTTCAAACCTCCTGGGCTGTGTGGTTTTCCAGGAGCCAGTCTTTTGCCAACTACGCCTTGAGCTTTAGAACCTTTTCATTTCATTACTCCTGGTGGGAAGATAGGCATGGCCTTGGGAAATCTGGGAGAGAGACACACCTGGCTTTGTTACCTCTCGTGCTCCCTCTCATGTTACCTCTCCTTCTCCCCGCCTCTTGTGGGAAGGGTAGTGGGGGTATCTAACTCTCGTGCTGGGAATTCGGTGTTCGCATACTCTCTATTATCCTATCACAGTCTGTCTCTCAGTATATCTGTCTGTCTCTCCTTGAACTACCCAGAGGAATAAGTGAATAATTCCTCAAAATGTTATCACCCAATAAGATCGGTTTTGTTAAAAATAAAAGGAATTAAAGGAATTAAACTGGTAAACAGAATTTGGTGCATTAGAGAATGGAAGTACAATACGAGATCCATGGAAGGCAGGCATAGCCTTCAAAAGTGATGTGTCATAAGGGCCAGAGATGGAAAACTCACAGACTAAAGGGTCGTATCTAGTTCTCAGTCACTTTTTTTTTCTTTTAGGCCACTTTGTTTTTTAAAAAGATAAATTAAACATGGAGAGATGTCATATAAAAACAAAACACAACTTGGAATTTTGTCTTCTTGGACAAAAATTAGAAGATTAGTTAACAGAGAGTCCACATTTCCTCATGGCAACAGTCCACAAAAGCTGTTTTAGAGCAAGCACACACCCTCCACTTCACCACACGCCTCAGCAGCCCCCACAGGTGTATGGTTGACTCGTTTCCCTCAATTTGTACCTGCTTGACTCTTGCAACACTGAGTTTGTGGCTCTGTAAGCTCGTAGCGTGTAAGGCCCATTTATATCCTTATTATAGTGGGGCACTGGGCCCACATTACATTTATTTTAACTGAATAATAGTCCAGGGACCCATGTCAAGCCAAGGTGGGGAATGCGGTTCAAAGAGGTACTGTCTTCATAGAGCAGTCTGACCTGGAAATCTCAGGGCATAAAGCTGTGAATTTCTTGGTTACCAAAGATATGCCAAAATGGAGATGCATTCCACCTTAATGCGGAGTAATCAGAATGTCAAAAACAACAGAAAAAAATAAAATGTGGATTTATCTATGTTGAGGCTGTTTCTGAGAGTCTTCATTTACTTCTAATGGTTTATGGAGGCCATTGGGCATAAGCTACTTACTACTCCATTTGATTATGTGTGGCTTCTCCAAGGTTGTTAAGTCTTGGAGGACAGATTTTCTGCTCTAGTTCTTGTCCATTTTCTCTCCCTTTCTTTTCGTATCCCCTTTCCATTTTCCATAATAGAAAACACCTTAAAATAATACACCTTTTAGAACTATAGAGAATGAAATAAAAGTTTCATCTCTTTTCTAGTTGCTGCTGCTTTTCTTCTGTTGGATAAAGATGAAATCCTGTGAAACTTTTTTTTTTTTTTTTTCTTTTTAGGGTTTAGACTGAGAAGGCGCCATGTTCTCATGGAATCCACAGGGCCGGCAGGCCACTGCCCTCATTTGGTGGAGTCTGTTCCTTGTGAGGATCCAATGTGTTACCGATGGCTGGCGTCTGAAGGGATCTGTATCCCTGATCATGGAAAATGTGGCCTGGGGCATCGCATCCTGAAGGCCATCTGTCAGAATGACCGAGGTATGTGGCAAAGAAACGTGTTGCTAATGATATCTGCCCTATGACGTGACCGTTCTCTAACAGGTCATTCTCCCAAGGGAGAGAAACACAGCTTTCCTACCTTTGAATACTTACATTTAAGTCCGATGCCACATTGCTGCAAGGTAAGCTTTTGCCTTGACTTATGATAAGGCCACATAGTCCGAAAGAAAACTATATGATTATTCCTAAATGCAATACAGTGAACCTAGAGCTTTCTCTGCAGTTTTCAATTTATCAAGACAGAGCATACAGATCTCTTCTGGGTAGTCTTCAACTTATCAATACCAAACAAGTTTTATTTGCCTTTTTTGAGGTCGATATATAACATGCTTTTGTATATTATTAACAAATACTATACCTTGTAAAGATTTCAGGGCTGCAATTCTCTCCAAGTTAAAGAAAAAAAAATACCAAATCTTTTCATTTATATAACATTCGACCAGAATCAGTTCTAGACATAATACTGACATTCCTAAGGAACCATTTTTACATATAAATTGTCAAGATTTACAAAACTATTAAAGGTGGTTTCTTTCCTTCATTGCCAAGCTTTTAGTACAATGGGCTGTTTGAAATGAAGGGTGATTTAGAAAATACGTAAGTTACATGGGAATGAGAAAAGTGACATTTTTAAACCTTTATCTTACAGTTTAGAAAAAAAATTCAGTCTCTTGGAAGAATATCAAGTGTGTCTATCCCATTTATAATTCTCTTGGTGTGTGAAGTGAAATGTTTTGACTTATGAAGTGAAGTGTAATCCATAGAACCCAAGGAAATTACAAAATGGATTCAGAGTGGCTATTCAGAGTGGCTTCCACATGGGATTGACATTCAGCAATGGTTTCCTTTTTTCCCTCCTTCCTGTCTCCCCCATGATCCCCTTTCTCTCTTTCCCTCTTTCACTCCTTCCATGCCCTTTTCTCTCTCACTTTCTTCCTTTCTTTCCTTCCTCTCTCTTCTTTATTTCTTCCTTCTTTTTATCAGTTCTTCTTTCTTTTTAACCACTGCCATAATTGGATAGATACACACATTATCAAGCAATGTAATCAGTTATCTCACGAAAGGTATTTGTTTAATTAAATAGAGGTCAACAACATATTGTATTAGCTACATCCTTTTTGACTGAGTAGTTACAACTAATAGTGGCTTCTAATATTACCAAATAATTTTTGAATTGTGGTAATACATGTATAATTTATTAATAGAGGCAAATAAGGTCACTTTTGTGTTGCTTCTCTTTGAATTCAGGAAGAATAGTATAGAGGTTTGAACCTGGAGTCTAAAGTCAGCCAGGTTGGAATTTCAAGTCTGCTACTCACCTGCTAGACAATCTCAGGAAAATTAATTAACTTGTGGAAGCATCCTTTCCCTCGGCTTTAAAATGGGGGTAATAAAACCTACTTCTCCTTCTCAGATTGTGAGAGTTAAATTGGTTATATAAAAGTGATTAGTGAAGTGTCTGGCACATAACCATTCAAAATAAGGTATAAGCTTATTTTACTTATAATGCACATTTATTACTGTTCTCTGCCCTGGGGGAATTGTGTAAAGAGCATTCTTACAAAATATGAAAATAATAATGAGTATTAGAATAACCATACTACTTCTTCCTCCCAACCTCCTGCTGTGGAAACAAGAAGATCATTTGTTTGGTTGAGTCCTAATGAAAAATGACTGTCAGGCTTTGTCATCTCATAGCAGATATTAGAGGCTTGTCATGATATATTATGTCTATAGGGCTGAGGACTTTTTCACAGTTTGTTCTGTGCCTTCTGTAGTATTGCAGAGGGTTACATTGTGATCTATAATTAGAAATAAATATTCTTCCCATTTCTGGCACAGAGCTGCTGAAACTCTCAGAACTTTCTGAGCAATAAGAGCAATGGCAGCATCTTTGGTTACATTTGGTCTCTTGCCCTCAGTTGCTGAAATCGCTTCCAGATAGGTGAAATGGGTGTCTTGTGACTCAAAAAAAAGAAAGAAAAAGGAATAGGTGTGTTGTTATTCCTAACAAGCCTAACAAGCTGCCTCCCTCCACAACTGGGTCTATGTTAATGAGGTGATTTGTGGAAAGCACCTAAGGATGGAAGCTGGTTGCCAGAGGAACCAACCAAATGGTTTCCAAATGATTTCCAGGTAGGGGAGAAGGGCTAGAGGTTGAATCCAACACCAGTGACCAATGATTTAATCAATCATACATATGTAAAGAAGCCTCCATAAAAACCCAAAAGGATTGGGGGCCTGGAGAGCTTCCAGGTTGGTGAACACTTGGAGATTTGGAGAACATGCTGGGTAGAAACCTTGTGCCCTTTCCCCATACCTCACCCTATGTATCTCTTCTATCTGGCTGTTCCTAAGTTACATCCTTTCACAATAAACCGGTCATCTACTGAGTAAAACACGTTTCCTGAATTCTGTGAGCCACTCTGGCAAATTAATCAAACCCAGGGAGGGCGTTGTGGGAACCTCTGATTTATAGCCCATTGGTCTGAAGTACAGGTAACCATTTTTAATGTTTTAACGTGGACTTGCGATTGGCATCCTCAGTTAGAGAGGGTTGTTGGAACCTCCGATTTGTAGCTGGTTGGTTAGAAGCATAGCTCACCTGGGCTTATAGTTGGCCTCGGAAGTGGAGGGCAATCTTATAGGACTGAGCCTTTTACCTGTGGATTCAGATGCTACTTCTAGGTAGTGTCAGAATTGAGTTGAATATTAGGACACCCAGCTGGTGTTGGAGAGTTCCGTGGTGTGATGGGGGGAAACTGCCCCTCCTCCCCCCACACTTCCTCAGCCACTGAAAATGGATATAGAATCCTTTTTTCCAGAGGTATCAATTTTACCATTGTAAAGCACTTCTAGAGTTTGTTTGTTTGTCTTATTCTTGTGAAAGGACTAATTTTCAACATTGACCTACACTCTCAATTTTTGTGGGGAGAAATAGAAATTACTACTGGTTCATATCAGTTCCATGAAGTCTTTGTGGGTTTTACATACCTGAATGGCTCCCTAATCATTTGTGGGATATCAGCAATGGTCATGCTTATGAGAACATGCTGGCCTCCTGGTAGCTGAAGCAGTCTTTTGTCTAGTGAGAAATTGAAAATGTAGTCTGGTTGCACATTTTGCATTTCAGCTTCTGTGAAATTCTGGATGATTTATGACAGAAGTTTAGCAGAGAAGTGCTCCTCTTTGACTCTCCACATGTTATCGTGGTCTTTCCATACCTACAGGAATTGACACTCATTTAAATGCTTAGAGAGAAAGAAAAAGGTTGAGGTATATTTAATAAATCGGCTGTGAATATTTTTCTTATAACATTTGACAGTTTTCTTTTCATCATCTGAATTTATTAATTGTTGTATATGCCCTTTATTTCAGACTTTATTTAGAGTTAAGTGGATAAGACCAAAAGAAATATCTTCATTTTGGTTGAAAAAATCAAAAACAAAAACTGGTATGAAATCTCATCAGGCTAGAGGCCTGCTAATTTGCAAGGGTAACTTACTTTTACATATATATATATATGTAACATTCAGCATCCCTGCAAAATGTCAGCATCCCATTCAGATTGTGGAGACAAGAGATTTCCACATAGCCATGATCAGGGTTCTGTAGGACTCTTGACAGTGTCTTGTTGGGCATTTGTGCTTCTAGGAAGACATATTTTTCTTTCCCAGAAGTTTAAGTCATTAACTTAAAAAGACTTAAAATTTGAAAATACACAATCTCTGTCACATTGAAGCCAGTAAGTGACTGGAAATACCAATTTGGGATACACAAAACTTGTGGGTTGGTTTAAGAATGTAGTCAAACATCTAAATAGTCATTTATGAATTTCTACAGCTGTCTCTGTGGGAAGTCTGTTTTGACCCATTCTCTACTTTGATTTATTAGTGATTCTGTCCAGTCTTTTGAAAGTTCCTGTTTCTCACCTGGCCTGTGATTGTAGCAAACAATGGGTTAGTAAAGCTCATTTTTAGGAAGAAAATTGTATAATAGATTATATGAATGAGTATTCTGATTTGGAATCTGATTTCTAACACTTTGAGTGGTCAGTGAGCTTTGATTTCTTTCCTCTGCACAACATCTTATCATTAGTCTGGGTCAATAGAAGCCTACTGAGTATAGAATATACATAGGTTTTTCTCGTCTCATTGACAAGCAGGTTTCCTCCATGTCAAAGAGGGCATTTGAAAGTAAATGGAGTGTGATGCCACTGCATACCCAACCTATTTGTCCTTTAGATTATCAAGTGAATTCACTGTGTTTTAAACTTTGTTTCTCAAACATGAAACTAGCTCGTTGTTGCCAGGTTTCATTGGCAGTTATGAAAGTTTACTAATATGTAACATCTTCCCAGAGCAGGTTGGGAAAATTCCCATAATGCCAGGGCAGTGAACAGCATTCCTAGTGGTTGGGAAGTGACCCCTATTCATCATTTTTCATGTCTCCATAATGCAAAGTGGACAGATGACACCAGCTGGCCATTGGATAAACACCAGGTTGTTTATTGGGGCAGTCAGACAGTGAGTACTCACCACCTGCTTTGCTCCATAATTTGCTGACTAGGTTATCTTGAGAAAAAAATGGTCTGTATATTTCAGCAAACATCTTTATTCAGAGGTAATGCAGTGTACATTCTGTACTTGGAAAAAGTAAATACCCATGTAGGTATAATGCAGAGGAGAATACCTCAAGAAGAACAAAGTGCATATGTTGACAGATACATGGAGCTAGAGTTCTCCAGTGTTACTGGAATGCCCTCTGGCACACAGGGATACTTATTTTTCAGTTGCATTAGATTTTCTCCATGCAAATATTTTCCTTAAGTGGTGTATATATTTGCACAGAAAGCTTAAGGAAAGATTTCCCATCATTAGGGTTACTTTGCTTTTCACTTCAGAGGCATTTTTCTGGGAGTTCTTGCCTTCCATCATTAACCTTGAACAATCCAAAAATGTGATATTTAATCTTGGATA